TGCCTTCAAAGAACTTATAATATTTCAAAATCAATCCTCAAACAATAAATCAGGCAGCAAGCTAAAACTTTTCGTCGACCATTAAAAAAAGGTCATCAACTTTAGGGTTAGGGGTTAGGGTTGGGGTTAGGATTACAGTTAGTTAGGATTAGGCATTAAAACGCTAATAGATTATTGGTTCAACGTGCGGAACGGCTGAAATTTTCTATGACCGGTTTTTGCTGGCCTCCATAACAACTGCGCATGCTACAACAACAGTTCGCTGACCACCAGATTTGTGGCTTTGTTGAAACCATTCATGGTTGACATTCATGCGAGCAAAATGCGTACCGAGTTAACAATTTTAATATGGCGGCAATCGATGGTGATGTGGTGTCTAAGTCAGGCCAGAAAAGTCCTGTCGATCCGTACGGATCGTACGGTCCGTACGAACTGTAAAATTGCTTTACGGATCGTACGGTCCGTACGGTAAAATTGCTTTACGGATCGTACGGTCTCGTGAATATGATTTACGGATCGTGAACATGCTTTGTCGATGGTGATGTGGTGTCTTAGTCAGGCCAGAAAAGTTTGTCGATCCGTACGGATCGTACGGTCCGTACGAACTGTAAAATGGTTTTACGGATCGTACGGTCCATACGAACTGTAAAATGGTTTTACGGATCGTACGGTCCATACGAACTGTAAAATGGTTTTACGGATCGTACGGTCCGTACGAACTGTAAAATGGCTTTACGGATCGTACGGTCCGTACGGTTCTATTGAAATCGCTTACTGTAAAATGGCTTTACGGATCGTACGGTCCGTACGGTTCTATTGAAATCGCTTATTGTTAAAATTGAATGCCCTACCAAAAAGCTGAACGTAATGATGCGTAAAATATTGACAAGGTGCATGTATTAAAATTTAGTTAAGAACATCTCCTTGTAAAGTGCGCAATTTTCTGCTCTTGGGAATTTAAAGCAGCTTCTTAAATAGTTCTTTATGCATAAAATTTACTTATGTCAATCATTTATGTACTCGTGGGAACCAACAGAGTGCTAAGGCATTCAAATTCTAACAATTAAATTGTTTTTGGTGATTTCAATAGTTTTCGTTTTTTTTGGGACACCCTGTACATTTATGCAATGTTCTTTCGTCAAAATTCATGCAAGATCTGATTGGTTATGTTAGTGAATAAATGATGCGACCTAAAACGACCTATAAAGCAACTTATGTATGCAGATTATTTGTTATGATATGGATGAAAATAAAATTATTGCTTGCCTCTGCAAATTCCAATTCCTGGGCCGATATTATAGGTTAGCTAGAGTATATAGTAAATATGTGATAACTTGAAACAGCATTGTGTTTTGCTCAGGGACAACCTTCATTGAAATACCTGTATATATATATGTAATCTTCACAGTACTGCATCTAAAATAATTGATATGTCATGCTTCGTTCTTTAAAAGCATTGCGTAAATTGAATAACTGGAAATATTATATATAAATAAACTTTCACATTTTAAAAACATTGAACTGAACTGAACTGAACTGAACTGAACTGAACTATACTAACATACTATAATCTTCACAGTAGTGGTCTATAACTATAATAATTCATATATCATGCTTCGTTCTTTAAAACTGCATTGTGTAAATTGAACATGAATAACTAGAAATATATATTATATATAACTTTCATGCATTTGATTGCGTTAACTTAACTGAACGGAACTACACAGCCGCATCTATAATCATGCCGTTCATGTATCATGCTTCATTTTTTAAAAGCAAAAACATTGCCATTGACATTGCGCGAACTGAATAGTGAAGTCTTGCAACTTCTACTGAATAGAAACTTAAGATAGAAGAAATAGTCACAAAGTGTCAAAGGAGACTATATTATATAAAATATAATAATTTAATATTAATTTAAACTGTTTGCAAACTTTAACTAAAAGACCTTCAAAGGTATAGTTCACAAAGATTATATGGTTCAAATTAGTTTAATGCATGCATGCATCAGTTTGAACTAGATCCTTTTACTCTTTCAGATCTATCCATATACAAAAACTTTTTGAAATGTAGATCAAAATAAAACCATCTTCTCTCATGTTTAGTAATGTTCGCTATAATCCAATTTACTTGTTCCCATCGTTTGACTGTTTTATTTTTATCCCAAAATGTTGAAGACACAATCCAATCTTTTATCATTGTTGGCGGACAGCCATTGCCCATCAGGAACAGCACTAACTTAAATGTTTCTTCATCACCAATTGGTTTCTTCCAAAACGCACTTCTCATATCATTTGGCCACACCAACGGTGGGTAAAACATATCGCCATTAACACTTCTGAACAAAGCTCGTCTCCTCTCTGATACATGTATTTGTCTTTTTGATGAAGTTATGACGAAGTTTGTTGCTTCACACATATTGCTAATGTAAAACTAGTACTTGCGAGAATCAGTTAAATAACATAAATACGTGCATGCTATTTGATTACTTTTTAACTTGCTTCAAGTTTCATATTCTGTTTTTTATACAGACCCGTATGCCGGAACAGTAACACTTCCGCCCATTGTTTTCTTTGCAAAGCAAAGAATTACGCGTTTTAAGATATAAGGATATATTTTGCATAATAAAACCTGGCTCAAAATTTTTAATTAATGTAATAATGGGGAAAATTTTGACAAAATGTTTTATATAAAATTGTGTTTATTAACATTTATTTGTAACATTGTTTACAGTTTCCAAGCATGCAGACGAGTTTATAAAGTCCACTAAGCCGCGGTATTGCAGAATATACACACTCCACCACTTGGTCTATATGGCTAACGTAGAATATGCAATACTGACCACATACATCTGACTCTTTACGTCGACAACATATTATATTGATATATTGCGTTGTTCTTAAGAACGGAGCGACAACATATATTATATTGATATATTGCGCGTGGTTTCTAAAGAACGGATATATTGATATATTGCGTGGTTTCTAAAGAACGGGGCAACAATATATTATATTGATATATTGCGTGGTTTCTAAAGAACGGAGCGACAACATATTATATTGATATATTGCGTTGTTCTTAAGAACGGAGCGACAACATATTATATTGATATATTGCGTTGTTCTTAAGAACGGAGCGACAACATATATTATATTGATATATTGCGTGGTTTCTAAAGAACGAAGCAACAATACTATATTATATTGATATAGGATTGCGTGGTTTCTAAAGAACGGGGCAACAATATATTATATTGATATATTGCGTGGTTTCTAAAGAACGGAGCAACAATATATTATATTGATATATTGCGTGTTTCCTTAAGAACGGAGCAACAATATATTATATTGATATATTGCGTGGTTCCTTAAGAACGGAGCAACAATATATTATATTGATATATTGCGTGGTTCCTTAAGAACGGAGCAACAATATATTATATTGATATATTGTGTGATTCCTTAAGAACGGAGCAACAATATATTATATTGATATATTGCGTGGTTCCTTAACAACGGAGCAACAATATATTATATTGACAGTATTGCGTGGTTCTTTAAGAACGGAGCAACAATATATTATATTCATATATTGCGTGGTTTCTAAAGAACGGAGCAACAATATATTATATTGATATATTGCATATATTATATTGATAAATTGCGTGGTTTCTAAAGAACGGAGCAACAATATATTATATTGATATATTGCATATATTATATTGATAAATTGCGTGGTTTCTAAAGAACGGAGCAACAATATATTATATTGATATATTGCGTGGTTTCCTATTTTAAGTCGACCTGTAAATCATTCATTTTCACGAACTTATTGATATATTGCTCACGAACCGTATACGCTTCGTACGGTCCGTAAAGCCATTCCACGGACTGTACGGATTTGTCGGATCGTGAATCGTCTTACGAGCCGTACGACCGGTACGATCCGTCGAACTGTTGGTAGATCTGGGCAACAAGCATCCGCTATTGGAGACCACCTATTGCGTTTACGAGTTGATACGGATCGTGACTCGTGTTTACGGTCCGTACGAATTTGACGGATCGTGAAGCTGCTTCACGATCCGTATCATGTCGACAGTATTGGACATGTTGGCTCTAAGAGACTTAAAATAATTTGCATCACAATTTGTTTGACCAGCATGCATGTGAACACGCCACGTATCTATGCAGGGAATTCCCCACACGACTTCACTATGAAGTACAACAATTAACTATACCCGTGACTATACAGACACGTCAAAACTTTCAAAACATTTTATTAACTGAAAGAAAAAGAGTCCAAGTTAGTCAGGTAAACATTTTATCAATAAAAGTATATCATGTTTATATAAAATGCATTGCGCCGACAGGCAACACAAACTGCAACATGCTACTTTCATTCTCAGATCGAAATTGAATAGCTAATTCACTGAAATACTGTACTGATGCTTTTTAGTTAATTAATAAAATAAAAAGTATTATAGATATTTACTTTAGCTTAACATTATCAGGAGTATTTCGTAAATTCCAGGTTTATCTGGAAGAAATATAAGCAATATCATCTTAGAAATAGATATGAACTCCAAAAAGTGAGGTAACGCAAATTACGTCATTGAAAATTTGAATATGCAGTGCATGACACAGAATAAAGATCAGTAGCAGAAGGGCCACTCAGCGGTGCAACGTGTCCTCGGTTTTTTATGCAAAAATATGCAGTTTACTGGCCAGAAGGCGGAGTAGCCAGTCAGCACAGCGTGTTTATTGGCCAGAAAATGTCATTGACTGGCTGGAAAATGGCGGTCAACATGCGTAATGCGACATGCATGCGCGAGGCCCTTCTATATGGATCTTTATTCTATGGATATGATGTAGACTAGCAGTTTGTTTGAGACTGTATCAAAAGTCGGTCCCGAATTTCTGCTATGAGAGTTGTTTAATCCTCACGCCACAAATGTCTCGGGTGTAGACAGCAGCATTTTTTCATCCAAATTCTTCAACTCGGTGCCGGAAAGTGCAGGAAATGGCATTTCCAAGCTTCATGACTTTCTTAGCTCGATCAACTGCATGCCAATTTGATACATTGTTATAACTACTAAAACATATTATTTACAACATATTGACGGCTTATTGACCAGCAGTCCTGTCTGTTGGATATTCATTGTCAGTGCTTGGGGATTATGTTAATATGGCTCAATTACTATTAAGTAATACTAATTATAATATAGCATTTGTAAATTCTGAACACTGATTGGCTAAGAGCCGTGTTGATATAACTCATTAGGGAGCTTAAGCATGTAGGACGGCAACACGACGACGACGGCCAAAACAAATTCCTTCAAATAAATGATAGTAAAGAAAACTTGTCGTATATTATAATTCGTATGAATTTAATACAGTATAAGAAGCTGAAAACATTGGTTTATGTTTGGGAAGAGTTCTGTTGAACCGAATTTTAAGTTGCACTTGTTACGGCTTGAAATGCAGGCGTTGTATAAAAGATGTGAAAATCTGTGATTTGCCGTTGTAAATACAGGGTGTCTCAAAAAAACCGCTATCCTTGGAAATTCACCATTGTTCTAATTTGAATGCCTGAGTGCTATCTTGAACTCATGGGTGCATGAACAATTTGAATGGAATTTTATGCTTGAGAAGTTATTGAAAAGTTTCTGGTTTTGTTCAGCATATGACTGATTGATTTAAACGCAACAAAAATACGTAAGTTAAACAAAACGTTGTTTATTTTTACAATTATTAAGCACCTCGTCCTTCGACGTGGCCCCCATTTCTCTAAACACAAAGTAATGTTCGTCTATGCATATCACGCACGGCTCGGCTAATGAGTGCAGGATGTTGTCGTAAAGCATCAAACTCTTCGATGATTCTTTGGCGTAACGCATCAATAAAGCCTGCCGCACACGAGAGCTATCTGCTGAGCAAAAAGTTACTCGTGCCTGTTAGCTCAGCCGATAGCTCACCGATCAAACATGTTTGATACGTGAGAAAAGGTTGCATGAG